ACAGAAAAGGTGCAAAAGTGTAATCTATGCTTTCAAAAATAGGTTGAATAAAATGAATATGCTCTGAATGGATATAACAAAATAGAATAATTTAATATAAAGTAAAGAGAAATTTAAGATAGGATTAGAGAGATAAAAGAAAAGTTAATGAACTAAGACCTTAAGTAAATTTGAAGCAACCTAACACAGAAAAGGGTTGACCTCGTTGTCGCAACTTAGTCTTGTTGACAGGGGTACTTATTAGAACGTACCTAGTCCGAAGTCGTCTGCAATAGTAGTTGTCATGATTCCCAGAATGAAACAGTGGACTTAGAACATTCTCAAACGTTTCGCCGGCATCGTAGTCGACATGATCAGTGAGTTTTGCCACTCTCCGCACGAACTCGTCAGAGACAGGTGAAGTCAATCCCTTGCCAAACGTTCTGCCGAAAACGGTAACACTATCACTCCTCTTTCTGTCCTGGCCTATTTATCTATTCTTTGCCCTCTTAACCCACTGCCGCCCTATCACAACATCTGACTTGTTTACATTCCACTCATCGAAACGTGTGCCCTTTTGTGGCAAATCTAGTGTGGCTTCATCACACTTGCCATTCACCCCGAAACCCCTCTCTTTCGTTCAGCTGATTTGACTCGAGCCTCCAGTCTGGGCCCTTCATTGTCTCGCAGATCCGTTCCTTATCTTTTTGGATGACTGATTTGCCTCGGTCCCAGTCTCTGTGTACATTTCACTCCTGACGCTATTTCTCAAGGTCCTAGGAGCACATACACTGCAGCCTCACTGAGCAGAACGCCTAAGCCCTGATTCCCATGCTTTCAGATATCAGGACTTCTCTTCACGGGTCGTCTCCTTGATTAAATCCATGTTATCTGAGCAAACTGTGGATGCCTATCTCTGGTCTCAAGTTGATTTCTAGTACATTTTGGCCATAACACCGAATTTCCGTGACGGTTTGTTAATCCGTATGCCCAGCTCCCTGACTGCCATGCCCTCAAACAGGCACACATTTTGATGAATGGAATGTAAACAAGTCAGAAGTTGTGATAGGGCAGCAGTGGGCTAAGTGTGTAAAGAGTATATAGATAGGCCAGGACCGAAAGGGGAGTGATAGTGTAACAGTTTTCGGCAGAACGTTTGCCGAAAGATTAACTGCACTTGTCTTTTTGACGAGTTCGTAGCTTGGTGTGGAGAATGGCAAAACTCACTGATGATGCCGACTACGACTCCGGAGAAACGTTTGAGAATATACCAAGTCCATTGTCTCATGCCTGGAATCATGACAATTACTATGGCAAGCGACTTCGGACTAGGTGAGTTCAACTAAATCGCCCTGACAAGACCAAGTTGCGACGAGGTCAACCCACTTATATAAATCGAAAGGAGACTGAGAACATACCAGAGACCACAAAATCTTGGTCTTCAAATATTCAACCTACTATGGTTAAGAATCATGCATGCATATGAAAAGCAAATTTAAAAATGAAATAATTAAAGTTGCATTTCATAAAGGTAAAAGTAGAAGAATTATAAGTCAGAAATAAATAAATAAAGATAAGGATGCAACTTAAAAGTATCTACAATTTCTGCATTTTATTCATGAAAAACACCAATTATATCGCCTCAGAACGAAACAAAGGGCAATTCATATAAATGAATAGTCCAGTGAAGCACTCCAGATAGAAAAGAGCTCCAGAAACATATTCTGGCAGAAACAATGACCTGGAAAATGAGACTCCTTCAATCATTTGATTCAGGAAAGATTTCAATGCACTTACACGAGTCGGCGGGATCCAAAGGCCAGGAAGAGTAGATGAAATTGGGAAAGCGAGTGAGATGGAGGTGGTGGAATTTGAGCCAGATGAACACGTATTGAATGTGGCTAGGCTTGTAGGATAAAGGGATTCACATGTAAATATCGGCGTCCGGCAGGAAACGGCTGATTCGAGCAACCCTGAATTGATGAGAGGATAGCTATCAGAATTCGGGAGCAATGAGGCGGAGTTGGGAATTGCAATTTGATCTAACGCAGCTAGGCTGATTGGTGGATAGGCAGAGCTAGATGTAACATGAATACGCAGAGATTTCTCATCTGTTGTATGCGCTAAACCAGAAATTCCAACCTCACTTGAACCAAAATTTGAACAGCCTGGAGAAGACATCTTGTGCTGCCGCGCATGGCATGAGTTAGTATTATTAATCGAGGTGGCGAGAGAATTAGAACGTCTTGTACGTCCAGTCTGAGTCAGACTAGGAATTGCAGAGGAAAGCAAACAAGGAGAGCAGGAAAAGGTACAAGGTTGAGTAACATTGTAATAAGGTTTAAATTTTGAAGGCTCAGGCCAGACTTCCGGGGATTCGGGGAAGGACACGAGATTGCAACGTTGAGTGCCGAAATTATTGTTCATTTCGAGGACACTTGTAATATTACTATTGGAGGAGAATAAAGGCATGGTGGTTGATGGCAAAAACGATGAGGAAGAGGAACGAAGACAAGGAAGAATAGGATCTACGTCTAGGGGGTCTACAAGATCTATTGAAACGATTCGTTCAGAGGCTACAGAAAATCTATGCTTCTACAGATCCCAACGAAATGATGCCAAAATATAAAGCAAGTCCGCATCGAAATGCATGTTAAGAATGATTAGTGAACAAAACATGTATGAAATCAGTACATGCACAAATCAAAGCCAGACACTCATAAGCCAAATAAAAAGAAAAAATATGGA